GCCCTCTATCTATCTATATCTATCTCTTTAACTGTATATATATATATATATATATATATATATATACACACACACACACACACACATACATACACACACACATATATATAATTTTTTCCCTCCAACTACCCTAATGCTGACAAAGGTCTCAAGAGTTATAAATATCATCTTTCCATGCAGGAATGTAAACAGTTCAACCTTAATAAGTCTCTTATGATTTCTCTTTCCTATTTACCTCTTCATGTTCCACTTGAGTCTTGTATTTGAAAGTCAAATTTTCTATTTAGCTCTGGTCTTTTCAGCAAGAATGCTTGAAAGTTCTCTATTTCACTGAATGACCATTTTTTTCCCCCTGAAGGATTATACTCAGTGTTGCTGGGTAGGTAATTCTTGGTTGTAATCCTATCTCCTTTGCCCTCCGGAATATTATATTCCATGCCCTCCGGTACCTTAATGTAAAAGCGCTAAATCTTGTGTTATCCTGATTGTGTTTCCACACTACTTGAATTGTTTCTTTCTGGCTGCTTGTAATATTTTCTCCTTGACCTGGGAACTCTGGAATTTGGCTATAATATTCCTACGAGTTTTCCTTTGGAGATCTCTTTCAGGAGGAGATCGGTGGATTCTTTCAATTTCTATTTTGCCTTCTGGTTCTAAAATATCAGGGCAGTTTTCCTTGATAATTTCTTGGAAGATGATGTCTAGGCTCTTTTTTTGATCATGGCTTTCAGATAGTCCAATAATTTTTAAATTCTCTCTCCTGGATCTATTTTCCAGGTCAGTTGTTTTTCCAATGAGATATTTCACATTATTTTCTAATTTTTCATTCTTTTGGATTTATTTTACAGTGTCTTGATTTCTCATGAAGTCCCTAGCTTCTAATTGCTGTATTCTAATTTTTAAGGATTTTCTTCAGTAAGCTTTTGGACTTCCTTTTCCATTGGGCCAATTTTGCTTTTGAAAGCATTCTTCTCCTCATTGGCTTTTTGGAACTCTTTTACCATTTGGGTTAGGCTGTTTTTTAAGGTGTTATTTTCTTCAGTATTTTTTGGGGTTGTTGACTTGTTTTTCATGATTTTCATGCATCACTCTCATTTCTCTTCCAGTTTTTCCTCTACTTCTCTTACTTGCTTCTCAAAATCCTTTTTGAGCTCTTCCAAGGCCTCGGACTGATTCATATTTTTCTTGGAGGATTTGAATGTAGGAGCTTTGACTTTGTTGTCTTCTTTTGGTTGTATGTTTTGATCTTCTTTGTTACCAAAAAAAGATTCTGTGGTCTGACACTTCTTGCAAGGTTTGCTCATGATCCCAGCCAATTACTTGAGTTATAAACTCTTAGGAAGGTAGAGGTCTGCTTCCAATGTGAAGAATGTATTGTCCCAAGCTTCAGGGGTTTTATGCAGCTGTTTTCAGAGATATTTCTAGGGACCTGTAAATTTTCAGTTCTTCCAAGGTGGTATGATAAGGGGTGAGGTGTTTACTCCTTTCCTGGCCTGTGCTGTGGTCTATGAGTGACCACAAGCCTTCTTTTCTGTCTTGGAAGTGTGAAGAGGATTTCTTCCCCACCACCATTACAAACTCCACTACACCAGCACTGCTCCTCCTCGCCCCAGGACCACCCCTCAAAACTGTGACCCAGATTCAAGCATGGGCAAAGCAAGAGATTCCTGCCTCAGCACTGGCAAAGAGATCCCTGCAATCCCCCTCTGATCCGCCACTTGATTCCCCCTCAGTATGTGGGCCGGAAGCTCAGGAGGCAGCTGCCGCCCCAGGCCGAACTTAGAAACTGGGACTGAGACCTAGTTTCTCTCTCACCACAGAAATAGACTTTTCCCACTGACCTTCTAAGTTATCTTTGGCGTTCGTGGGTTGAGAGGTCTGGAAACCACCACAGCTGCCTGTGATTCAGTCCTCTGAGGCCTGCCCCAGGTTTACTGCAGCCTGCATGCCCACGCCAAACTGCGCTCCTCTCCTGACCTGGCACGATACACCTTTCTGCTCAACCATCCAGGTTGTCTTGGGCAGGAAATTTGTTTTGCTGTGTCTTTCTTTGGGTTCTGCTGCTTTAGAATTTGTTTAGAGCCATTTTTTACAGGTATTTGGAGGGGTTTGGGGGAGAGCTCTAGCAAGTCACTGCTTTCCCTCCGCTATCTTGGCTCTGCTTCCTGAGTATAATCCTTCAGGGGAAAAAAATTCAGTGAAATAGAGGACTTTCAAGCATTCTTGCTGAAAAGACCAGAGCTGAATAGAAAATTTGACTTTCAAATACAAGACTCAAGAGAAGCATGAAAAAGAAAACAGGAAAGGGAGATCTTAAGGGACTTATTAAAGTTGAACTGTTTACGTTCCTACATGGAAAGATGTTACTTGTAACTCATGAGACTTTTGTCAGTATAAGGGTAGTTGGAGGAAAATAAAAATATGTATAGATAGATAGAGGGCACAGGATAAGTTGAAGATGAAGGGGTGTTATATAAAAAATAAAATTAAGGAGTGAGAGAAGATTATACTGGGAGAGCTAGAATGGCGCAAATCATCTCACATAAAACAGACAAGAAAAATCTTTTACAGTGGAGGGGAAGTGGGAGAAGGTGAGAAGGAATGAGTGAATCTTATTCTCATAGGATTTGACTTAAGGAGGGAATAACATACACACTCAATTGGGTATGCAAATCTATCTTACCCTACAGAAAAATAGAGGAGAAGGGGATAAGAAAGGGAGGGGGCGGAATGATAGACGGGAGGGCAGATTGGGGGAGGGGGTAATTAGAAGCAAACACTTCTGAGGAGGGACAAGGTCAAAAGAGAGAATAGAATAAACTGGGGGTGGGATAGGATGAAGGGAAATATAGTCAGTTTTTCACATGACTACTATGGAAGTGTTTTGCATGACTACACATGTATAACCTGTCTCGAGTTGCTTGCCATCTCAATGAGGGTGGGTGGGGAGGGAGGAAGGGAGAGAATGTGGAACCCAAAGCTTTAAAAGCAAATGTTAAAAATTGTTTTTACTTGCAACTGGGAAATAAGATACACAGTCAGTGAGGTATAGAAATCTTTATCCTGCCCTACAGGAAAATAGAAGGGGAAGGGAATAAGAGAAAGAAGGAGCGATAGAAGGGAGGGCAGATTAGGGAAAGGAGGGGTATTCAGAATGCATGCCGTCTTGGGGTAGGTGGAGGGGCAAGATGGGGAGAAAATTTGGAACTCAAAATCTTGTGGTAATGAATGTCAAAAACTAAAAATTAATTAAAAATAAAAATTAAATAAATTTTAAAAATTAAAGTCAAATGGGTCATTTTAATTAAATGACATTTTAAATTTTCACATAAACAAAACTAATGTAGTCAAAATTAGAAGGAAAGCAGGAAACTGGGGGGAAAATTTTATTGCAAGTTCCTCTGTTAAATGTCTTGTTTCTCAAATATATGAGGCCAAAATTTATAAATAAGAGCCATTCCCCAATTGATGAATTGTCAAAGATTATGAACAGCCAGTTTTCAGAGCTATCAAGTCATACAAAAAAAATACTGTAAATCACTACAAATCTGAGGAATGCAAACTTTACAGCATTTTACTCACAATAGGTTAAGTTTAAATGTGTTAAGTTAAAGACCAAGTGATATGTTGATGTGATGAGAATAAATATGACGCGGTAGTCTCCGAGGTCCCTTCTAGCTCCAAATGTATGACCGTGTAAACATTACAAGCTCTGGATTTTTTTCCCCTTTATTAAAAACATGTTCTTCCTTATAGTGCATTGCACAGAACTTCTTCAACTTAGGTGGAATAAAGGCTTAATACAGTAACAGTATTGTGAATACAGTGATTCTTTGTGTCCCAGCCCACAATGCATATTAACCTTGCTTTGAGGATGTGAATACAGTAAGTTTAACTGAAAGAGAAATCTGTTATAACACATATTCATAAGATCACCACTTAGTAGTCCTAGATCTTTTTTAATGAAGATATCCTTTTGGTCCAGTATTTATATGTAGTACCTGCAGGTATTTCAATACCTGCACAAGGATAAGTATTCCTAATAAAAGTTAGGCTTGTGAAATGTTAAAAACAAGAATTTTTGGAGGAGGCTTTTATAATAAATAAATGTTCCCTGTTGTGTTGACATTGGCTATGAATTCTTAGACAGGAAGCAGTAGGTGGGAGTAACAGTAACAAGGGCTTTGAGGCCTTTGACTTTTGGATACAGTGACCAAATGTTTTGGTTTGACGGGAAGAGTCTTGATTTTTGCAGCTTGTGTTGGGTAAACAGGTATCCAAGGAATTCCTTGCAAGGAATCCTTGACTTCATCACATATTTCTTACTGAGAAACTGGTTCAAGGATTTGATGTTTCTTGAATAGGATTCCAAACTCCAGGCATCTGTCAAACACTGTGTATTACTATGTGATCTGACCAGAATACTTTATGTATGGTCATTCAGAGCACAATCCAGAATATTTCATCATTTGTCTACAGTTACTGTTAGGTCTAATTCAGAGACTGGAAGCTGGGAGCATGCTTTGCATTCTTTCCCTTCTCCCTCCCCTTTAAAAAAAACCCTCAAATTACAAATAGCATTTTGAAGAAAAAATTATGAAAAAGTTTTAGTCAAATGTGATAGACATTGAAACATACCTGTTGCCAAAAGGATCAATACAGGCCCTGTAGTATCTGTCCTCTCAGTCTCCATGGAAATGGAACCAGAAAAATGGTTGTTATGCTTTGCAAATGCCTGACATTTGCTTTAGTAAAACATAATAAGTAAAACATAATAAATAATACCACATAGTCTAAAACTTGCCATTAATGTTGTATGCAATTTATCCATTTTGATGATCTTTCTAACTCGTTAAAATGGGATTCTGTGGGTTTATGTTTTTATATGTGTCTGTGTAGGTCATACATTCAGTTCCATAGTAACAGGGCAATTTGTGGGAGCATTTTTTTTTTTAGTAAACTAATGATTTTAAATTGGAATGTCGTATGTCTGTTTCCAGGCAATGCTTACAATCAAGAGGAACGTGTTGTATGTGCTGGCTATGACAATGGGGATGTAAAACTATTTGATCTAAAAAATATGTCGTTAAGATGGGAAACAAATATTAAAAATGGGGTAATGTATATTCTTACTCTTGGTCATTTCACTGAACCTTTTTACAATCATCTTTTTACCATTGAGTTGGAAAGGGGCACACGTGAACACATGATGGACACAAAAAGGTCCTTTTCCTAAGCCTTAAATATGGATAACCCAAACTTACCCCTGAAGTCCCAGAATTATATGCCTTCAGTGGAGAATGTTCTGTTTATACTTTTCCAAAGTTCATTTACTGTACAAATAAAGATGCTGCTTTTCATCTGTGTCCGTAGAATGTAGCACCAAAAATGTTATAGTTCATCCAAGAAAAAAAATTTATTGTAAGGAAAAGAGCCTTATGTACTAGTTCAAAAAATAAAGTGGATACTTTGCATTTTTTCTTGTTGGCTCCTAACTTTGAGGCAGCTTTATTCAGTTCAAGAAAGTTAATCAATTATTAATGATGACATCCTCATGAATGTTTGTACTCTTGATTTTTAGGTTTGTAGTATGGAGTTTGACAGGAAAGACATCAGTATGAATAAACTAGTAGCTACATCATTAGAAGGAAAGTTCCATGTTTTTGACATGAGAACTCAGCATCCAACCAAAGGGTTTGCCTCTGTTTCAGAAAAGGTAGAGTATAAAGTAAATGTCTTTGTTAAATATGATTCTTTTATTTTGAGAGAAGAAGATAGCTTCTCAGTTGGGCTCTGAAATTTCTTCCAGGACTTTATGTTAAAAGATGTTTTAATGCTTTACAAATAGCATGTGGGCAAGTAGATTTCTCACATTCAGGTATAATCTTTAAACACTTATCTGGTACAAAAAACATGGATATAGGAGGTGAGAGAGAGTGAAGGGTCAAAGACGACAACCTAGGTTTGTGACTGGGTGGATGGTGGTGCCCTCAACAGCATTAGGAAAGTTAGGATTGATTTAGGGTATTTGCAAAGGTGTTAAAAACTGATAATGTTCTGTTCATTGACCAGTTTTTTGCCTTTCTTATTGTGTTTTTTTTTTTGTGAGGCAATTGGGGTTAAGTGACTTGCCCAGGGTCACACAGCTAGTAAGTGTCAAGTATCTGAGGCCAGATTTGAAATCAGGTCCTCCTGACTCCAAGGTCAGAGCTCTATCCACTGCACCAGCTAGCTGCCCCTGCCTTTCTTATTGTTATAACCAAAGAGAGTTTATTAATCCTTAGTACCATCCTATAAATCATTGTGTTTTTCATTTTAGAGTTTAGACAAGTCATCTGGTATTAAAATGATGACAAAGCAAGATAATTTAAGATTAAAATCCACTCTGTCTACTTTTTGCCAAAAAGAAGTTGTTCCTTTTTTTGGGGTATTTATTGTAACAGGTAAGGGAAATGTTTTAATGTAGCAGTGATAATATAGCTCGATTCTGTAGTGCTTTACAGTTTTCACAGACTTTTCTTTCCTCATAGCAACCCTGTCAGAGAGCTACTAAAAATGTTATTATCCTTGTTTTATAGGTAAAGAATCTGGGAGTGAGAAAATTACTTACAGACAATGTTGAACCCGTATCTTTTCAGATTCAGGGGACCTGGATTCAAATACTGGCTTTGCCATTTTATAGCCTGTATGACTCTGTGGAAGTCATTCATCCTGTCTGGGCCTCAGTTTTCCCAGAAATGAGGGGCTGCCCTCAGCAGATGACCATGCTGACCTTTTCCATCTCTCAGTCTGTCATCTTTGAAAGTGGAGCGCCTTCATTCTTTGGATTCCAAATCTTGCAGTTTTTTCTAGTCAAGATTGCCCATCTAAAATGTGTCATTTTGTGAATTCGTTATATCATTAAGCTAAACATCCTTTTAAAAATTTTCAGTGTGGTGGTAGTTCTGTCATCTTTCACCATCCTGATCATCCTTCTCTTAGCTCCCAAGGCCTGAGGCACAGCTGGGGTCCTGAGTAAGAGGCCACTGCCCTTCCAAGGGATTAGCTGAGTCCAGAGAAGGACTGAGGGAACACATCCCATCCCCGCCAATCCCCCTGGCGTGACTGAGCTGCTGGGAATGCAAAGAAAAGCTCCCAGTTGACCTGCCGGAACTCACATTGTCTTTGTAATTGGAAATAGCAGTAAGAAACTGCCTCATTATGGCATCTTCAGAAAGAAAACATTTCCCAGGAAAATCTGGGAAACTAGCAATGGAAGCTCAGGTGAGCTGAGCTTATGACTTGACAAAGAAGACAAAAAAAGATCTCAGTGGCTCTGAGGAAGATGCTAGGGAAGGAAAGACTACAGTAATTAAAAGGCATGGGGAGAAAAGACCTACGGTCATTACTCATGGAGCAGTTGAAGAAGATATGGGGGGGGGGTGAAGTACAGAATATGTTGGAAAGATTTGGAGCTGATATTAACAGTGCTTTTCTTGCAAAGAGGAAAAGATTAGGAGTATGGGTTTGTTTGTTTGGCTAGGCAGTTGGGGTTAAATGACCTGTCCAGGGTCACACAACTAGTAAGTGTCAAGTGTCTAAGGCCATATTTGAACTCAGGTCCTGTGCTCTATCTACTGCGCCAACTAGCTGCCCCCAGAAGTGTGTACTAAGGCTTCTTTTAAAACCGGTAATCAGAAAATGGAGCATATTTGGAAAACACAGCAAGAACAGAAGCAAAAACTCAACCATGAATATGATTTCTTAACATTATTTTTGCGGTGGGATATGGATGTTCAGAAAGCTGAAGAACAGGGGGAAGAAACAACTAGTTAACATGTTTGAACAACAGCAAAAGGTTTTTCAATAAGCCAGAATAGTTCAGAGCCATAGACTAAGACAATTAAACAGTTGTATGAACAATTCTTAAAGAATATGGAAGGCTTGGAGAAGAACCACCAAAGCATTTTTACAGGTGCACAAAATGAACTCAGAAAAGAAATGGCCGTGTTAACAAAAGAAAATTATGATGGACACTCAGCAGCAAGCAATGGCGAGTGGTGAGGCAGCTAGGTGGCGCAGTGGATAGAGCACTGGCCCTGAAGTCAGGAGGACCTGAGTTCAAATGCAGCCTCAGGCACACATGATACCTACTGCCTGTGTGACCCTAGGCAGTCACTTAACCCTGATTGCCTCACCAAAAAAAAAAAAAAAAAAAAAGGAAAGAAAAGAAATGGCAAATGGTCGAAAACATTTTCAATCGATGTTATTCTGATGGTTCTTGGAAGAAAGAACTTGGGCTTAAGTAATATGATACAATAACAACCATTAGCTAAAGGAAAAGCAAATATTTGCTGTGGCTTAAGAAAGCTAGTTTAGAGTGTATCTATTGTTATATAGCTTGTTTATCAGTGTAAGATCCTCTGTTTTATGTTGACTGAAAATGCCTACATGAGTAGTAAATAGCAAGTTACTACTTTTCAAGTCCTTTGGTATTAGTGAATTTTCCCCCCAATAGCAATTAAAAACTCATGGCTTCTAGCAATAAAAATTTAATTGAATAGGCAAATTTTTAAATCCATTTAAAGCGAAGTGAATTACATTGTACTGTGGAAAAGTGGAAAAGGACATTTAGTATCATAGCATCTTTCTCTTTCTAAAATGTCCTTGAACTTCCCTCCTAAAAATAATAGAATCCTATTATAATGCAATTCATTATTACATGGACTGAGGAATTGAGTAATTGAAATCATGTCTCCTGAGTTGTAACTGTACTAGTATAACCTGTGTTGGTCCTGTGTCCTGATAGCAGTGTTATAAACAGGATTCCACAGTATTTCTAGTTATCAGATGATCATAGATTTAGGGGCAAAGGGTCTTCAGAGATGATCTGTTACAACTCCTTCATTTTACATATTAGAAAATTGGGGACCAGGGCAGCTAGGTGCACAGTGGAGAGAGCACCAAGCCTGAAGTCAGGAGGACCTGAGTTCAAATCCAGCCTTAGATATGTACTAGCTATGTCACGCTGGGCAAGTTACTTATCCCCAATTGCCTCCAAAAAAAAAAGAAAGAAAAGAAGGAAAAAAAAGAAAATTGGAGACCAGAAAGGTTAAATAACTTTCCCAGAGTCACAGAGAATCCTCCAACTCAAAATTAGACTTTCCTTTCATTGTATCATGTGATTGCTACTTCATTTTCCTATTTTCTTGATGGGTTTTTTTTAAAGGATATGATTAAAAAGTTTTACCAAACCTCTAATAGACATTATAAAGAGTAAAGCAACTTAATTATATTCATAAAAACTGACCAGTTTCAATTTATGAAAATCTGTATTTGCTGAATTCCTTTCTTAAGTGTGTTCTTATTCATCACTTTAATTTGTAATTAGTAGTATGACTGATCCTTTTTAGGCTCATAAATCTACTGTGTGGCAAATCCGACACCTGCCCCAGAACAGAGAGATCTTTATGACTGCTGGAGGTGCGGGAGGCCTTCATCTGTGGAAGTAGTAAGTCTTCTTTTAATGCATGTGATTTCTTCTGATTGGTTTGTGATTACTGAATATAAGCTTTTGTTGTTGTTTGTTTGTTTGTTTTAAATTGCCAGTGAACATTAAATAAAAACAGATTGAGTTTTTTTGTATTTGTTCATTAAACATAGTCACTTTTGACATAATTTGAAATTTCCTTTTGCTATGTAAGTGCTACTGTCCTTACATTTCATTTACAGATGTTTTTATTCATTTTACATTCACAAAGATTGCTTTCCCCACAAGGACTGAAAGAATATTGCAAATAAGAGCATTATGTTTGATCAGATTATGTACCACCTACACTCAGATGGCACAGGAACAATTTTTTTTCCCATAATCTAATAATCACCATTGTTGGATGGTTTTTTGTTTGTTTTTTATTACAACAAGAAAGATAAAAGTTGAATGTTCCAAATGGGGAGACTTTAAGGATATACGATCATAGAAAATGGCATTTTTATTCTCGTCAATTTAATTCTTCAGCCTAGTAATCAGACTAATCAACTCTTAATGTCAGTGTCCTCATAAGAACAAAAAGTTTAAACTGCTTTTGATGCCCTTAGCTAAGCAGAATAAACTTGGAAGAAGAAAAATCTTTTTTCCAAAATTTGACACAGGAAAAAAAAGAAAAGAAAACTTGACAATTTAATGAGAAATGACAGGTATTTCAAAAATAAGGTTTGATTGGGAAGTATAAGAAGCTAAAGGTAGTTGTGAAAAACAGCATAGCAGCTGGAAAGTACTTGTCAGAGTAATCAAGGTTAGGCAGGAATAGAAATAAAACTAAAGTTGCTTCTGAATCACTTAGCCAGAAGAATAGATTTAGAAGCAAATTCATTTTTTCCCATAGTTGAGAACTGCAGTTGCTGTAGGTTGAAAGCTCAAACAGAAAGCTTTAGATGTGCTTGCTAAATGATGGGCAGATTTATTAAAAAGTACTACTAGTATTTGCTGAACTGCCCTCCTTTTTGGTCCTTCATCCCATGTCTTCTCTCACTGATTGGGGTCAGCTCTGTCTTTCCTTTGCTAAGTGTATGAGCCAGACTAGATGGCTCATAAAAGGAAGGAGAGGGAGGAATAAAGGTGAAGCAGAGGGATAGAAAAGTCAGGAATTCATTCGGGAGAGGAGAGGCCAGGCCTCTGAGCTAATGTTCCTTAAACCAGCCTTCCTTATTTACATAAAAGAATAAATCTGAAAGCCACGTAGTTTTTCCCTAAAATTGAAATTATAGTTGCTGAAGGTTGTAAGTATTGAGATAGCCTCAGAAATGCTTGGGAAATGACAATTGGGTTTAAAAGTATGAACTGCACTTGATTAGATGTAGAAGAAGCTAAGCTAACAATACCATATGTATATGTATACTGGGGCTGTAAATCAGACTGTGTTAGAAAGAGGGACAGTAGGACTACTGGGAAGACTTCATTGTAGCCAAGCTATGCGTCTCTGGAGAGTCTGGTTACCTGGGTAGCTTTCATTGTATGTCTTTGTTTATGTGTCTGTGGGTTATGTGTGTCCCTGGGCCAAATCCTTAAGCTCAGGTCTTAAGCATAGAGGTTTGAGCAATTGCTGGGTAGTAATGATGTTGTGTTATAAGATCAGTCATTGTGGCATCCTTAACAACATCTTCCAAGCGCTTCCCTATTCCCTATTCGTATACCTGGGTCAGAAGTCACAGGACCCTTACAATCAGTGGTAGATATTTTCAGCATATCTAAATATATTCATGTGTGTATTAGATATTGTATGTTTATATATTGGTCCTGACTGATTTTATTATTGTTGAGTACTCTTGGTATAGAAAAACTTTCCATTGATTTAGATCTTGGGATCCTAGATTTAGAACTGGAAGCAACCTTAAAAGACCATCTAATATAACTCCCTTATTTTACAAATGAAGAAACTGAGGCTCAGAGATGTGCAGCTTCTTTGTAACTCATTGTCGTCATTGCTTGGGCCACTGAGAGGTTAGGTGATTTGGGTATGATCATAGCTAGCAGGCATCAGAGGCATGTCTTTTACCTGTGTCTTACTGCCTCTTATACTATGTTTATGTGTGTCCATATACACACAACAATATACATATATATCATAAGTACATATACACATATGTTGTGTTGTATATGTGTTATATAAAATGTATTTGTAAACATATATTTATACATACATTCTGAGATGATTGCTAGAGACATGAAAATCTTTGATACCTGAATGTTTGATGTAACTTAAAAGGTATTTCCTGACAGATTCTTCTCTATTTAATGACTTCAAGTTTGAATCCATCACCATTTATTCATTTCTATGTAGAGAACAGAACTGTGGAGGCTTGGGCCCCAAATTATGTTCCCCAATACACTGAGCTTATTTGTCCTTGACTATTGATGTCTAACTGATGAGAATGGATTAAAATTAATGAGGCACATAAAAATTTTAATGGATAACGGAGAAGGGTTTTTTTTTTCATTTTTACGTAATCTTTTAAATACTTAACAGCTGCAGCTCTTGCCAATAGACATGTAAGCAAAGGACATTCCACTTAAACGGTTTGTTCATCTGAGTGTTTTATTCCTTTTAATTAAAATGAGAAGTAGTTGGGTCTAACAGACAGAGCATTGAAGTTATTTCCCTCTCCTTGCTCCATTTTTGATTTGCTATGTGCCCCTTTACCATTCTGCCTCCATTAGCCTCTGTGAAACAAAATCATAGTGGATGCACCCCTTTAAAAGATCCAAAGATTAATAAATTGGTATTGGATAATAATTTTGAACACCCTAAGCTATTTTTTTTCTCAATATCAGGTATTAGAAGTTATTAAGCCTCATTCTCTACTTTGTTGATTCATGTTTTCATCTGTAAAAACAAACAAAATGCCTTTATAATCTTTTCAGAATTTTAACCTAGGAGTAAACTAAGTTCATACCCCTGGAAATTGTTAACAGTTACACAAAGAAATTGAATTTGGGTCTCGAGAGCCATCACAAACTAAAGGAATAGCAGAAAGTAGTCCAGAGGTATCCACATCAGGTTTATGTAGTTGGAAGCTGATAGGAATCAGTTCTCAGTTTGCAGGGTGTTAAGGCCAGCCTCAGTGATTGTGTCAATTCTATATTTCAGAATTACATCCTTCTATGTAGTGTACAGAAATAGCCTGTAGCTAACAGTCAGAGTAAGACATACATTTGAAGGATCAGCATGTTTTATTAAAATCTCTTTCGACAGACGTAGAGGTCGGGGACTTTCCTTACGTGCTTCTAGACACCAAAGTTTCTTGAAGTGAATATGTCAAGGGATTGTATTAGTGCTCTGTTTTACTTTGTGTGCAGATGCAGTTACTGAACCCAGCTTGTTTTTAGGTTCTTATTCTTTATCACTTTGGTTTTCTTTTCAGTCAATACCCTGCTCAGCGTTCCAAGAAAGATTCTGAGGGAGTGGAGATGGGAGTAGCAGGTTCTGTAAGTCTACTCCAGAATGTAACCCTGTCAACACAGCCCATTTCCAGCCTGGATTGGAGCCCAGACAAGAGGGGTCTCTCTGTCTGCAGTGCATTTGATCAGACAGTGAGAGTGCTGATTGTTACAAAGCTCAATAAAGTTTGACCTAAGAACTTTGGATCTTGGAACTTCCCAGGGAAACAGCTTAGAGTTTAAGGTGTCTTTGTAAAAGGATGACAGTTCTGTTGTCGTCCACTGACACTCATTGAACAAAGCTGAGGTTGGCTGGTACAGAAAATATAAACAAACATGAAATATGGCCTGGGGGTTGGGCATATGGAATGCAAAGGGTTATGCTCTCTTCATCTGACTGAGTGTTGACTTGCCTTTTGCAGAGCATGGGAGTGGTGGGGCTCTACAGATGAGTTGCTTCTAGAGCAAAGCAGTGTATTTTTTAAATTTCCAACAAACATCTCTATTTTTTATAACTTTGCCTCTGTTAAATGTGTTCTACGTTTCCAAAGTTCCAAGGTTTTCTTTGACAACTTTATTTCCTTGTGATGCATACATTATTATAGTAGAAATCATTTCTTCTGTTTAAAAGAGTTTGCGTTGAAAATTACCATGAATTAACCTTAGTAAACATATTCACTCTGTGGCATTTCATTGTCAATTTCTTTGCAGGATATTATTTGGTATTTATTTTATTTATAAAAACCTACAATAGTCTAATAATTTTTTACTCACCAATACTGCTCATAAAATATACTATAAAATATTAGAATTTGCAAAAATCACTTTTCACAATTTAATAAAATTACTCTTATTCTTGAAAGATAATAAGTTCAATTATGTTTGTAAGACTTTTTCATTGTTTATTATGATCATTTATGGTTATTGGAGATGTACAAGATTGTGGGGCTTGGGAAGTCTGTTGATTTTTGGCAAGCTTTTTTATATGTTAATAAAGTTCTAGTATCTAAAATATAAAGAGACTTTATGATCCTGAGTGTCAGCCTAATAATAGTAAGGGGCAAAGGGTAGTTACCAGATATGCGGTGGTTACCAGATATGCTGGCAGGAGCAAGCAGTGAGAAATGCTACTCGGAGACAGAAAAAGATTTAAAAAGTAATACAAGACTTCAAAAAAAGCATGGTATCCTATAGCTACTCAATGTCAGGGGAAACCATTCTCTGCCTTTTTTTTTAGCTCCTGGGGAAAAACTCTCACCACCAGCACAGATCAGCACCTTCAGAGTAACTTCTGAACCTTAAGAGCCCTGCCTGGGACCCTAAGGGTTAGTGATTTTACCAAGCTTACACAGCCAGCCAGTATGTGTCAGGGACAGGACTCAAGGCATGTCCTCCTGACTCCAGGACAGGTCTTCTGTCCCACAATCCCTCCCATCATTTTATTATAGAGCAATCATCAGTTTTCATAACAGTGATCCCAGGAAATTCAGAGGAGGTTTGGTATGGTCTGCATGTAACTTATGCCTACGATAAACTGTGTAACATTAGGAGAAAACACCATCAAAAATAGTAATTTTTTTTTTCCTGAGTAGGAGGTGCTTCAGTTCTCCAAATAATCAGTTTTATTTAGTATAGCTCATTAGTGTTGAGCTGGAATGAAGGTAGCCACAGTTTTTAAGTAGAGGAGGCTTATTTTCAGCCACTGTTAAGCAGTAGCCTTTGCTTTTAATGCTTCAACAACAACAACTGCAGTTTTCCCACGTGTCAGAACCCCTCAAGGCTCAGCCCCATTGGCCTCAAAGGTTGGCTTACCAGAGAGCAATGATTATTTCTTCCTTCAGGTTTCTAGGGGCAACCTTGATGAGCTGAAGTTTTTCTAGTAGTGTTGCTCACAAGCTGCCCCAACTGATGGACTCCCCAGTGAGTATCAATTAGCCAGCCAGACTTAATTAGTTTTTAGAAAGAGATATTTACTGAATATGTATAGCAACAACAATTGTAACAGAAATGTCCCGTTAAACTGGGGCACACTCTCTTCTTTCACACACAAGGTCCCTGGGAAAAGCGGGTTAAGACTTAGCTTACATGGCCAAAGGGTAAAATCACACATCCTGATCACTGGAAATCCTTTTCTCCCTTTGTGGAATCCTCATGAAGTTCCCCTTAGATGTTCCTCTCTTGAGTCTGAGAGTTGATGCTCTGTAGAGTCTCGAATCTGCCTTTCTTTAGTGCGTCTAATTGGTTCTATATCTCTCAGCTCTTGATTTATTGATTTGATTGTGTCCGCAGACAGTGCTGCTGGGTAAGCTGATGAGAGTTCCAACTCTCCTCACTTCTCTAAGTTCACAATTTTATCACCTGATTGGTGAAAGGGAGGGAGTGTAATACTCTGCCAGGGCTCACTTCCATGTCATCCCATGTACCCTTTGCTCTCTACCTCTCTGCCTCTTTTTTTAAAATTTTTAATTTCTAAAAGTTATTTTAAATTTAAATACAAGATAAGAAAAGAAAAAAAACATTGCCATGTACACAGCAGAACATAAGAGAGGATTCAATATAAAGCAATAAATTTCCATTTCAAGAGAATCTATAGAATGAATATTACAAATTATTTTCAAAGTTGTCCATCTTTGCTTATATGTTTCCTTTTGTTGTCTGCTGTGCACTTTTTACTGTATTTTTTCCCCTTCCTCCACCCCCTCCCCCATCAAAGGCTACAATTAACATGGATATATTTTATATGTATAGATATATATGTATATATATATGCACATATATACATAGATATCCATAAACATACACATATATACTCAAACGCATATGTGTAAGACAATATTATGTTCATTTCCACCTGTTATCTGTTTCTCTGAACATGGATAACATCTTCCTTCATAAGTCCAAATCTTTCTATATTTTTCTAAATCCACCAGCTCATTGTTTCCTGCACCACAACAATATTCCAACCCAATCACATTCTATTTGGGAGATTGTGAGGATTTTTTCCCAATTTTCTGCATTCCCTCTATTCTTGGATACATAGGTTTTATTTATATGGGAAATTTTTAATTTAAAATAATCAAAATTAACCATTTTACACTTCAACACAGCTCTCACCTTATAATGTGGTTTAAGGTCTGATACTACTGAATCTAGTTCCTTCACATCTTTTTTTCCTGGTTTCCTTGAAGCTCCTGACCGTCTGCTCTTCCAAATGAACTGTTATTATTTTTTCTGACTTAGATAACTTTTTAGTAATTTAATTGGGATGGTATTATATAAATAGATTAGTTATACAAAATTGTCATTTTAAAAATTATATTAGCTTTACCTACCCATACAAAATAAATATTACTTAAATTATTTAGATCTAACTTTGTATAAAAGGCGTTTTGTGTTTATACTCGTATTGTTCCTGTGTCTGTTTTGGCAGGTATACTCTCATATTTTTTATACTGTGTAGTTATTTAATATGGTCTAAAACTATTGATTAATATGGCTGACTGTGGTTTCCCTGTTTTTCTCTTTTAATTAAATCTGATTTTAGCTTTAACTTTGTCTGAAATCATGATTACTATCCCTGTTTCTTTAAATAATAAATTCCACTCCTGACCTTTATTTTATATTTGTGTGTATCTCTCATTTTTGTAGCGTTTCCTAAAAGCAACATATTGTTGAATTCAAATTCTTAATCTGCCATCAGTTTCTATTTTGTAGGTGAATTCATCCCATTCATATTCTAAACTAAAATTAACTGTATATTTTCCTCCTTCCTGTTTTCCTCACTGTCCTTCTTACCCTATTCCTATGCCTCTTCACTCTACTTCTGCCTGCTACCTTGCCCTCCTATTCCTTAACCTACTTCCCCTCCCCCAAAATCTCTCCCTTATCATCTCTCTCCACCCTATCCCCTTACCCGCTTATTTCTTTCTGAATTTAGAAGACTTTTATACCCTTCTAGATGTGTTTGTATTGTTCTCTCTTTAACCCATTCCCATTGAGAGCAGGGTTCCAGAGTGACCAGCCCTCCTCCCCCATCTAATTCCTCTGTGTCAGTTCTTCCTCTCAGACCTCATTTGTATGAGGTAAGTATTCTTTTTACCTTGTCCTCTATAATTTTGCTTTTTAGAATCACATCATACTCAGCTCTACCCCATTCTTTCTTTTGAACTACCCAGTTACTAACGACAATCTTAGACACACGGCTACTCACAAGGATTTTACACTCCAATGCAGAAGATAAATACATATGGAAATATATGCAGCATAAAATTAAAGTGAATAAACATTTACAAAGTAATAAATTAAAAGTAGTTTGGGAAGAAGGATACTAGCAATTGTAGACATCTTGCAGAAAATAGTGTTTGAGCCACATCTTAAAGGAAGAGAGGGACTCCAAGGCAAGAGTAAAGAGGGAGTGTATTGGGGCAGCTAGGTGGCACAGTGGATAGAACACCAGCCCTGAAGTCAGGAGGACCTGAATTCAAATCCAGTCTCAGACCAGACACTTGCCACTTACTAGCTGTGTGAACCTGGGCAAGTCACTTAACCTCAATTACTTCACCAACCAAAAAAAAAAAGAAAAAAAAGAAGAGGGAGTGTATTCCAGGAATGGAAGACAACCAGTGTAAAGTCAGGAGATGGCATGCTGTGTGTGAGAAACAGAGGGACAGCCAGTTTGGCTGGATCTCAGAGTGCTGGAGGGAAAGTAAAGCCTACTGAGTCTAGAAAAATCTGTTAGGACCAAGTTGTGTAAAGCTTCAAAAGCTAAACAGAGGAGTTTTTATATTTTATTCCAGAAGTGATAGGAAGCCACTAGAATTAGTTGAAGATGGGAGTCATATGGTGAGATCTGTGCTTAAGGAAAGAAAATTATTTTGGAAGCATTGAGTAGGATGGACTGGAATGGTGAGAGACTTCAGGTAGGGAGAACAATTAGGAACTTGTGGCAATAATCTGGGTAAGTCTGATAAGAGCAAGAACTAAGGTGGCAGCTGTGTGAGTAGAGAGGAGTCAGATATGAGACATTGTGAAGGTAGAAACAAAGGTTTGGCAACTGATTGGATGTGTAGGCTGAGGGAGAGTGAGGAGCCCAGGAGAATGCTGAGATTAAAAACCAGGGAGACCAGAAAGAAGATAACGATGCCTTTGATATAAAGAGGGAAGTTCAGAAAAGGAGAGGATTTAAGGGAAAAGATAATGAGCTCAGTTTTAGACATGTTAATTTTATGATGTCTCCAGGACATTCAATTTGTTATGTGGGTTTGAAGCTCACAGGAGAGACTGGGGCAAGAGATGTGTTGTCTGTCCTTCATTTTTGAAGAGAACCAATGACATTATGGGGTGATGTCTTGACTTGTGCACGGCTTGGATTTAAGTGAGACAGAGTTGCACAAAGTCACCAACCTCTCTCTTCCAGAGTCATCTGGAAGTCCAGTGGCAGGACAAAAGTCGGGACAACTAGCAATGGTTCTGGATGCAGTGGATAAGCTTGGTGTCTTTGATGTCTGACCAAGCTCTAAGTGCTCTGTAGTACCTGCTTCAGCTGCCTTCCTGGCTGTTGGAACAAATTGTTCTCATACAGAAGAGAGAAGTCTTCCCATGCTGGGGTTAAATATCCCCTTAATTCACTGGTGGGTTTGAGGCCCTCAACCTGATTTAGTCATGGTTTCACATGGGTGTGGCCATTGCACATGCTACAGCTTCTTGGAGCCACAGGTGAGAGTTGAGTGCCAGGTAGACCCCAAAGGTGGATGAACAGCCCTCACACCAGATGTGCTAGTCCTCCTTGAACAGCCCACACAGCCGGGGTGACAGATAGATAGGTCATCTATAGATAGGTCTAGATTAAATCTATCCAAGCCGTCTCTTTATTTCCCACCCAGCTCTTCATTCTTTTGGACTTCTTTGGACTTCTCCTGTCATTGAGAATCTCATCATCCTGCTAGATCCAATCAGCCTAGGTACTCACACCTCATCAGTACTTTCTGCCCCTCTGATTAGAGGGCAAAGCCATGAACTCCAAAACTTCCATTTAAGAAGGGGACTGAGACTGGCCATCTTTTCATTTCCCACCTGGTTCTGTGCTCTTTCGAACTTCTTTAGATTTCTCTATCATGCCCCACTCTAGGTACTTTCTCCCCATCCCTACCCCTTTTTGACTTCCTTTTTGTTGTCTTCTTGAATTAGATTACAAACTCCTTGAGGGCGGGGACTTTCTTTTTTCCCTGTATTTGTATCCCCAGTAATTAACACAGTGCCTGGCACATAGTAGGCACTTAATAAATGTTTATCGACTGTCTATATCTAAACATCTATATATCTGGGAGTCATCTGCATATGCCTGATAGTTAAATCAATAGGATCTGATGAGGTTACCAATAGAAAGAGTATAAACTGAAAAGAGGGTCTAGGAAATAATGTTGGGGAACACTCATAGTTGGGTTGTTTGTTGTGGATGAGGAAAACAGAAGGCAAACCAGGAGAGAATAGTGTCAGGAAACCCAGAGAGGAGAAAGTATTCAGCAGAAGGTTGTCACCAGTTTGAAATGCAGCAGATAGTTGAAGAAGGAGTAGGTCTGAGAAAAAACCAATAGATTTGAAAATTAAAAGATCATTGGTATCCTTGGAGCGTAATTTCATTTGAGTGATGATTAGAAGCTAGATTCTAAAGGATTAAAGAGTGAGGGGAGAAGTAGTGGAAGCAGCACACCTTTTTCAAGGAGTTTAGCTGAGAAAGCATCTGTGGTACATAAATGAGAAGGGACTTCTGGGAGAAAGAGAAATTCATCAATAACAGAAAGAAATGGACCTGGTCTTCCATCATGAGCTAATTTCTTCCCTCCAGAAACCATCATTTGAGTGAACAAAAATTGATGGTTTTTTTTTTAATTAACAATAGTCTGTTTCAAATCCTAAGCAGCCTTTCCATTCTAATGCAGTATGGAAACTCGCAGTGAAACAACTATAAATCTTTCCACAGTGTGATCCAGATGAACCTAGAAGATGTACACAAAAGGAGAAACACCCATGAGGTTTTGGGTTGGTTTTTTTTTTTTTAATTGCGCTATATCTATAGAAATGCATGTGGCTCTGAGAGGTCCTATATGTTATTAGTTTTCATATTTATACGGGACATGATTTCTGTGAATTTCTCGGAGCTGTGTAGCCCATTTGAAATCATATTGCTGCCGTTACATAAAGTCCAATAAAACACAACATTGGATTCTGCCTAGAACACTCACAGCTCTAGCCTGACTCCTCCTATGCTACAGCTTTTCCTATTCTAGTTAAAGACACCTCATTCCTGGCTGCGCATTTGCAAGTTACAGGGACGTGATTGCTCTGAAGACCTGGGGTGCTCTGCCCCCTGGTGGGAATATCTGTGCATTGCAGATATTTTGGACAGTACAAGAAAAAAGTGGGATTTATCTTTGAAGGTCAAATGGAAAACCTTTTTATGTTTAATTTCCAAAGGGCATATGCTTCTAGTTAGCGAAATC